CAAAATAAATTAAAGGGGCAGGAGTACCATCCATTGGATTATTAACTAGATCAATTCCAAAAGAAAATATCACACTACATAATACTATTACGAAAGTAATTACCAAAACATTTCGACTTTTTTGAAAAAAAGTAGAAAATAAAAATGCCATGGCAATTTGAATATGACCCCAAATAAAGAATAAAATTACGAGTAACCAAGGATCAGTTAATGTAAATAATGGCAATCGAAGTAAATATCCAGCGACTATTAATATCACAGTAGAAATCGAATAAAGAATGTAGAAATGAAGATAATGAGTAAAATAGTAAACAATAGGAGATAGACCATGCATTTTCATCATCATAGCAATCATTTCTTCCTTTTCTTTAACTAGAATCATAACAAAAGTTGGTAACAAAAAGGAAACACCAAAAGGATAAAGGATTCCACCAATTAATGAAGAAAAAATTTCATCCAAGTCAATTATATCGGTGTAAAGATGTGGCATTGAACGAAATCCGGTAGTAATCGTAGGTCTTATTGTCGAACCATTATTTTCAAGAACAGTTCTCAAAATAGCATTGCTCAATTGATTTTGTTGGGCTACTCTCCGAAATCCAGCAAACGGAAACGAAGCTATCGAGTAAAGTCGATTATCATAACCAAATTGTAAAGTATAATTCCATTGTTTTTTGAATTTATCACCAATGTTATCAAATAAAATTGTTCCCCATGGTATTTGATTGACCAAGTTTCTTTTTATTACGTCTAAATTATTGGCATTAGGATCAAGAGATCTTATCTGATCCATGACCTGAACTAGTTGGCTTCTCAATACTAAGTCCATCTGTTCGTCAGTTGAATTGGTATACCATTTTTGAAAATATGGAAGTGGAATATATTGTTTGGTAGCATTTGTTGGTGGATAATAAGAGTAGTTTGAAAAATATTGAGTGTCGATTCTACTAAGAAAACCTAAAAATTAACAATTAGTATATGAAGATTAAAGTAATTAATATATTATTAAATAAAGTTTTTTTTTTACCAGTCCCATAGTTAAAATTATTTATAGGGGAAAATTGATAAGGATCCGTGATATTGGTAGTATCTAAAGGTCTATCGCCACTAAATACGTTAGGAGCATCTCGTACGTACGCCCATGGGAATGTTTCTTTTGATGAAAGATACCTATAATTAGGTGGTGGGGCAGAAGGACCAAAATAACCAAATCGTGGCTCCGGAGAAAAAGTTCTAATTCAATAAATATAATTATTAATAAAGTAAGGATAAAAAATAAAGAAGGGAATAATATATTAAATATACACACGTATCCCGTTTTCGTAAAAAATCGGTAATAACTAGAGGATCATTTTCATAAGGAGCCCTATAAGGATAATCTCTACCAAACCAAAAGACGCACTCTTGTACATTCTTGTCCACATAATCCAAATTATAATTTATCACTATTTGTTTTGGTAATGCATTTGGTATTTGATCTGATAAAGTTCTTGGAATATTAGGATTCGTCTCCTTTACTTGATATTTACTTCCATCTAATCTTGATGCGTTTAAACTTGAACATAGCAAGTATTCTAAATGAAATTATTTGAAATTATTGTTGACGTTATAAATAAATAAAATAAATAATAAATAAATAAATAAATAAATAAATATAGATAGATAGATATATAAATATAGATAGATATATATATAAATATATA